CGAAGTTGTCGACTTCAATCTTCACAAAATATGGCCAAAATGGCTCGGGTTTTTGGTGTAAATGGAAGAAGGAATGATGTTGTGATGTTTTCAAGTGGTGTATAGGTAGATTTCATCAAAATAATCGATGGAAAATCGTCGGAATTCGTCGCCAGAAACGAGTCCGTGTCAAGGGGGTCTGGGTCTCCTCTCCCTTTTCCCTCATTTCCTTCCCTCTGATTGGTCACCCTCTCCCTCATTTTCTCTCACGCGTCTCTTTTTTTCCCTCTCTCTCTCGCTACCATCTGGCAGCTTCTAGTCCTTATTTTATTTTTTTTATTTTTTATTTTTTTCACAACTAAAACATCTCTAATATCTTCATTTTAACTTTGATTCACAAACAATTTTCACCTATGTGCTCGTAGGATCGAGCTCTGTCCAATTCTACGTAATATGACCTCGTAAGGTCTACGGATTTTTAATGATTGACCAAAATTGAAACTTCGTAATTAGTTTAATTAAAATATAAAGTTAATATAATTAATATAAATTTTAAAAAATAATATAAAATATTGATAATACAAATACGTAGTTTACAAAAATAAAATCCAGAAACGGGGTTTTACAGTGGCGATAATAATTATATATTAAAAATCAATTAAAAAACTAAATTAAAACAAAATTACCGAACTCATCTCTCTCTCCCTCTTTCTCTCTAAAATTCTTCATCTCGCACAGCCCCAAACTCAGTGGTTGTGGCCACTGTTCATCGCCTTCTCTGATGATTTTCCTGACGCACCCAGACGACTCAGACGACGGCTTCACCACCGTTCCCCGTCAACGTCAAACCACTATCATGGCTCAATGTTTCCCTTGGAACAACCCCAAGTCTCGGCTTGGTGATTTTCAAACCCCAAGCCCTCGAATTGAAGAGCCCCGTCAGGGAGGAGGAAATCGAAACCCAAGTCTCTGCAGCAACGCTCACTCTTGTCATCGCCAAAACTGAAACCGTGAAGCTACAAGATTCAGGAGACCTCGAATGTGACATAGCCGCGCCGAGCTCTAAGATGCCGGGGATGAGGAAATCCTCAGCCACCGAAAAGAGTAGAGGTCGTCCAAGTCGTCGAAGGTGAGCTCTAACTCGCAGTTTCAGCGGCACCTAACCCAAAGCCGAGATCGAACATAAATGCGTTGTCAGAGGGCACTGTGACCATGCCGTTGTAAGATGAGAAAAATTCAGGTTTAAGAGGAGGGATCGTGAGGGAACGGCGGTGAAGCATCACTTTCGTCTGAGTCTTAATTGTGGCCGGAGTGCCATTTTAGGGTTTCAGAGTGGTTTCTTTGAGAATTTAGAGGGAAAGGGGGAGATACGAAGACTTAGATGATGAATAGTTGATTTGGCTATCAAATTAAAAAAATTGAGATTTAATAATTAAATATTAAATTAATTGAAAATTTTAATAATTCAATAAATTTTATTAGTTGTTAAGGCCATGTGGTAGAGGTTGACAACAACGTTAAATGCGGAATATATTGTTACCACGTCACGTCAATACTTAATCGTAAACTTAACAAATTTTCTAACGGTTGTTTGAAATGAAATTATACTAATGGTATGAGATTGAAATGTTTTAAAGATATTGTATAAGATTACAATTACACCCAAACTTGAGGGGATAAAATGTAATTTAAAAAATAAAGAACACTTAGCATTTGTTTTTTTTAACAAACAATATTATCTACACTAAGGGGGAGGGGTTGAGCTTAGCCTCACTGAAATTGGTACCAGACGGAATATCTTGTAAGTAAAAATAATAATATGCTAAACTGACTAGTCAAGCCCACTAGTCAACTAAAACTGATTTGTTATTCAATAAATCAAAGATTTAATAACCAACTTCAATTACCATAAGCTATCCTAGTCAGCAAAGCCTCATATCGATCTAAGTTATTAATGTGTCAAATGAGCAAGATTGTGAACACATACAATTAAATAGTCATGAGATAACTGTGGCATGTATATGTATGTGAGACATATCACACAATGTAAATAACTTTGAACACAAGATATTTGAGCAAGAATAACAATAACACAAGAAGTTTTTGGCCTGGAAAAACCCACCTCTGGGTTAAAAAACCAGGGATTAACCACTGAGTCCAATCCACTAGTGTAAATAAAGGTTCATACAAAGACCATACAAGCTCTATTCCTAAATCCTTATCTATGGAGCAACTTTACCTTTGTGCAACCTTACCTTTCACGAGATGAACTCCTTCGGTCTTCACGAAGTGGCAGCTCTTCTTGACCTTTTCTCCTTGTGGTTCCGATATCAACTTATGCAAATGATGTTATCATGAATTAATGCAAATCTAGATTCAATTGAACTGAAGGAAAATCTAACCTGAATCCAAAAGCTTGGTCTAAAAACAGATTTAAAGCTTAAAACCAGACTAAGAATTTTATGTAAAATCTTAAAACAATACGACCCTAATATACAATTATTGGATGTTTAATGCATGAACTTGGTTTTGTACTTGGAGCACGGGATTGAGAGAGATGAGGTTGAAAGAACAATTAGAATACTAATGGTTGAAAAAGAAGGGGAAGAGATAAAAAAAGAGAGCATTAAAGTTGATGGAAAAGGCAAATCTTTGCCTCAAAGAAGGTGGCTCTTCATACCATACCAGTCTTTGGATGGCTTGGTTAAACACATTTTATCATTATAAATCTTTTGTTTTCTGAAACTAAAGTCCAGTTCTTGTTTACTGAAACTCCTTTTCTGTATTATGTAATTATATCATGAATTATAATGATTCGTTTGTCCCGTTATGTTTAAAGAAAATGGTGGTCCATCATCATTATCACATTTTTTAGAATTATTCTATGTTTTTTCCCGTGCCCCCTTTCAATTGTCGAAAAATGTATAATTAAGACTACCATATAAGAAAACTTTAACAAAAAACTTCTAGTACTGTTCACTTTAATAAAAAATCATATTTTTACACTAAAAAGTCAATCATGGTACAATTCACTTTACCCTTTATTTTGTCCTTATCATTAAAACTCAAAATTTTCAAGCCTTTTTCATTAGTTTTTTTTTTAATAATAAATTCCATCACCTATGCATAATTCATGTTTTTAGCAATTCATACAATGACTAAAATAACAACACTTTCAAAGCCAGACAAACAAACAATAACGTCAAAAAAATGTATAGTATTATGAAATATGAGATACTCTGGATGCTTCTATCGTTAGATTTTAATTAGATTTTAATTTTTATAGGTAAAATATAATCTGACTTAGATAAATCTTGAACAGCTACAGAAACCTCCAATCCAACAAGTCACATGCAAAACCAAATGGGTTTTTTTTAGGGGCGTTTTGATATAGGCGCCTCGTTTTTTAATTTTGTTTAGACTAAACATACACTCCTTTTGAAATTTTGATCAAACATTTTTCTAAAATTTTGGTTATTAATTTCAGTTTTTCACATAAGTTCAGTTTTGTTTAGAATTTTAGTTTTTCACGACTTCTCCTAGGCATTTCGTTTTCTTTTTTTTTCTTTTCCTATTATCCCTATATTTATGCATTTATTATCCATCTCTATGCATTTTTTTATTGTTTGTTATAATTTTTACTTTTTTGTGTGAATATAGTAGAATATTTATAAAAAAAAAAAATCAGATCTTATTATTTAGAAGATCCAACACATAATAAAGATTTGTTTGATTATATAGCTATGTCTAGTTACCTATAATATGGACACATTTAGTTTTATAGTGGATTTGATTTTTTGTATTTCTCAGTACATTTGGAATGTATATGTACCAAAAAGGTTATCTGATAGAGACATTTGGTTTTGTGGTACATTTGGGATTTTTTGTTCATTTGGTCTTTTGGTACAGTTGGAATCTAAACATACCAAAATGGTTACCTAACAATGGGCACATTTGGATTTATGGTACATTTGAAATTTTGTACATTTGGTTTCTTTGTAAATTGTATATTTGAAATCTAAATGTACCAAAAGGGTTACATAATAATGGGTACATTTGGTTTTAGGGAACTTTAACGAAAAGCTCCGGGTACTGTTCACTTTAACGAAAAACCACATTTTTACACTAAAAAGTCAATTCTGGTACTATTCACTTTACCCTTTATTTTGTCATTATCATTACAACTCAAAGTTTTCAAGCCATTTTCATTAGTTTTCCTTTGGTTTTATGGTACATTTGAATTTTTGGTACATTTGGTTTCTCGGTACATTTGAAATCTAAATGTACCAAAAGTCAATACTTTTGTTCTCAAATATACCATAAGTTTTAAGTATATTTTTTATATATCTATACATGAAAAAAAAAATGTATTGAAGACTTTTTATTGAGACATTTTTAATAGAAAGAGATTTTTTTTTAAATACCGATAATCAGAAAATGAGGAATTAGTTAATTTTTTATTTTATTTTATTAAAAATGTCATTTAATGCGTGGAAGGGGATTGAGAAAATAAAATTTCTATATTATAGGCAATTAGTTGCTAAGTTACCTTATCTGTCTATATAAATGAACTTAAATTAATGACGTGGAAAATAAATAAATAAAAAATTATTGAGGTGGCAATTGATCAAAACACCTTAATCAAATCTTTAAAATGAATGAATGTTTAATCTAACAACTATAGAAAAGACGGAGGGCATTCTAATTTTCTCTTTTTTTTACTACCAATTAAATTTTAGGAAAATTTATGAAAAGAGCTTGAAAACTTTGAGTTTTAATAATAAGAACAAAATAAAAGGTAAAATGAATAATACCATGTTTAACTTTTTAGTGTAAAAATATAATTTTTCATTAAAATTAACAGTACCGCAGACTTTTCGTTAAAACTTCTCAAAATTTTTGGGCTGGATAGGAGCTACCCCAAATTAGTGCACTGGGCATCCCTTCTTGAAATTGATATTATTTTGTTTTTCCCAAAAACTGAAGTTTCAAGAAGTTGATGGAAGCTCATGGAACCGAACTCTCTGTTTTTCTTTTCTTTTTCTTTTTCTTTCGTTTTTTCCTGGACCATACAACTGTCTGTAATTCTCAAAGAACCATGAAAACACCTGAACCTTCTTTGGCAACCTATAAATACAACCACTGTCGCACCCACCTTTGTCAGATAAGATCGTCGAAAGCAATCTAAGCAAAAATCTCTCGTTCAAATTCTTCGAATTGACGCCCAGCAAAAACCAACTCTAACCCATCATCCAATGGCTCTCAGTCTCTTTGGCAACGGCCGACGAAGCAACTTCTTCGACCCCTTCTCCCTGGACATCAGGGATCCATTCGAGGGCTTCGGCACTCTGGCCAACATCCCCTCCTCCGCCCGCGAAACCACTGCCATTGCCAACACCCGCATCGACTGGAAGGAGACCCCGGAGGCCCACATCTTCAAGGCAGACCTCCCGGGGATAAAAAAGGAGGAGGTGAAAGTGGAGGTGGAGGACGGGAGGGTCCTGCAGATCAGCGGCGAGAGGAGCCGGGAGCAGGAGGAGAAGAACGACAAGTGGCACAGGGTGGAGAGGAGCAGTGGCAAGTTTATGAGGAGGTTCAGGCTGCCGGAGAACGCGAAGATTGATCAGGTGAAGGCATCGATGGAGAATGGGGTCCTGACTGTGACTGTGCCGAAAGAGGAGGAGAAGAAGCCTGCTGTCAAGGCCATTGACATTTCCGGCTAAGCTCTTGTGGTGTTAATTTTTGCTTCTGTGTATTTCCGAGTATCTGTGTGTGAGATGAGTGATCTGATGTGTCAATTTTCATGTATGGCTTCTTATTCTAAATATTATTATAAATCTTTATAAAAGCTGAGTCCATTTTATTTTTGAAGAAGTGTCTCTTGGAGAAGATCTATTTAATTTTATACCACGAATATGGAGATCTACTTACTACGAATAAGAGTCCTATGGTGGTCGAAATTCCTAGCTGCTATTTGTGGTTTGATTTGTGAACAAGGTTATAATTTCAAATTTTGAATTGGTGATTGTTTCTCTTGGTTTTAGTTTGAGTCTTCGATCAATTGATGTTTTTCTTGAACATGTGATTGATTGAATATGAAAGTTTTAATTTTTTTTGTTTATGTGGCCGATTCAATTTATTTATTTAGGTATATTTTATGGAAAAATTAGTTGTCTGGTTGATATGGTTACAATGTATATCAGATTGCATGGTTAGTTTTATTTTGTGTTTTTGAGTCTTAACTCGTTGTAGCATGACGGTTTGAAACATTCAGGTTAAGCTTGTTCTTCGGTGAAATTGGATTCTAGACCTTCCCTACAAAGATGTTACCGATTTTCATCTTTTCTCAAGAATACAAGAGAATATATGTGGACAATTCAACCACAATGAAGACCATATAGATACTTTATAATTTTTTTGTTTTTTGTTTTTTTTTTTTGGTAAACTTGATATTATTCCGGGACAAAGCCGAAGTACAAGGCCAACAAAGATACAAGAAGCACACAAACTTACAAACTAAACAACCAAAGGTCAAGACCAAAGTACATTGACAAGCAAAATGGACCAGCCAAACCAAAGCCCAACCAACAGCGTGGCCCAAAACAAAAAAGATACGGTCGGATGTGTGTTTGTTATCTGCAAGAAACACTGCATTTGCAAAGCTCCCTGTCGCAAATTATCAAATTGCCGGCTCACCATCCCGGTTATCGAACTTAAGGCTTGCGGCATACATGTGTAGTGTAGGATTAAAACTGTAATTATATTAGCTTATGAAATTATTCTATATATAAGCCTAAGTCGTCTATAGACCTAGTGTAGATTTTACGAATTGTGAAATTGTTGATTTTAAAAACTACCTAGTTTACGTCGCACACAGGTTTAGTAATTAATAAGCTAATTACATCATTCGGTTAAATACGGGATATGTTAACTCGTCGGCCGAATTTGGTCGGAAAGTAAAATATGTTGATGTGACGTTAGGCATATTACTGACTTATTGATCTTGCGACCGCGGCCGAGAAAGTAACACGTCTCGATCTTCACGTTCTAGAGTCTAAAAACAAGGTTGCTAGTTCTGCGAAGTTCAATATCAAATTCAACTTTTAGTGTGCCGAATTTAGTAACATGATAACACCTCACTTCGCCTAAAAAACTGAAAATATAACCTCTTCCAACAAGAAGTAAAAAATTATTGTCAACCAAAATTTGGATAAATAACTAGTCGGTTTGAAAGTAATGATGTTTATTTAAACAAAAGGTGTTCCTCGTATTGGGGACATCAAAGAGACACAAAGAAAAAATCATATTGGGGACATCAAACCTTCAGTCCTCTCTCACCTACTTGTAAAATTAGTTTCACAACATAATTTAGTATTTTTTTTTCCTTAAATACGGTTTTTTTTTTTTTTGAGAAAAAAATCTATATCCAATTTAACTGATACTTAATTTAATTAATTTTATAATTACCAATTTGGATAAAATAAAATAAAATTAATTATAAAAAAAATAAATCAATCAATCAAAAAAGGTTTGTAAGTGCCAACTATGTTTTGGGCCGAAAGGTACTGTTTGGTACGTAGACGGGATGGAACGGGACGGAACAGGACAGAACAGATGATATAAATATTGAAAAAAATAAGAAGAAATTTTGTCATAAAATGTTATAAATTTGTGTTCCCCGAATGTGGAACGGGTCGTTCTAGGAGGAAGAGGTGGAACGAAAATCAACCAAATTTCATCCCATGGACAACCCGTTTCACAATTTTTAAGCGCATCAAATGTGGGACGGTTCGTCCCACGTACCAAATGGTACCAAAAAGTAACTAAAGGCACTTTCGAGAAGTTGGTGGAAGCTGATGGAACTCTCTGTTTTTATTGTTTTTTTCCCTTCTGGATAGCTGCAGAACTTTCTGTAGTTCTCGGAGAAACCTTCTGTGCCATCCTATATATATACAACTCACTCCACAACCCTCCTCATCAGATAGAATTATCCAAAGCAATCTAAGCAAAAATCTCTTGCTCAAATCCTTCGAATTCACACCCAGCAAAAACCCAACTCAAACCCACCATCTAATGGCTCTCAGTCTCTTTGGCGGACGACGAAGCAACGTCTTCGACCCCTTCTCTCTGGACATCTGGGACCCTTTCGAGGGCTTCGGCGATCTGGCCAACATCCCCTCCTCCGCCCGTGAAACCACCGCCATCGCCAACACGCGCATCGACTGGAAGGAGACCCCGAAGGCCCACATCTTCAAGGTGGACCTCCCGGGGATAAAAAAAGGAGGAGGTGAAAGTGGAGGTGGAGGACGGGAGGGTCCTGCAGATCAGCGGCGAGAGGAGCCGGGAGCAGGAGGAGAAGAACGACAAGTGGCACAGGGTGGAGAGGAGCAGTGGCAAGTTTATGAGGAGGTTCAGGCTGCCGGAGAACGCGAAGATTGATCAGGTGAAGGCGGCGATGGAGAGTGGGGTGCTGACTGTGACTGTGCCGAAAGAGGAGGAGAAGAACCCTGAGGTCAAGGCCATTGACATCTCCGGCTAAACTAAATTCGCATAACCTCGATCGGCTACTTTTGAGCTCTGTTTTGGTGTGGTGTTAAGTTCTGCTTGTGTGTATTTCCGAGTCTCTGTATGTGAGATGAGTGATATGGTGTGTCAATTGTCATGTATGGGTTCTTCTTCTAAATATTATAATAAATCTTTATAAAAGTTTACATTATATTTCCAAGAAGTGTGTCTGGGAGAAGGTCTATTTAATTTGTTTTCCACGAATATGAAGAAGATGACTGTTCACGGCGCGATTATCTTGCTCTTAAAGTCTAGAACTTTAACACTTGCGCATAGAATTGATAAAGATTCTTTCGATCTTCACACCTGCTATTGCTATTAGGAACCAGCTGCTGAGCTGTGACCTACGAAGATTGCAGAGGAGTATCAGGCAAAGAAGAAAGTTCGAGATGTAAATTTTGTATGGGAGAAGTACTGCTCAAGTCGACAGTCCAGCAAAGGCGACATTGAAGACATCTTACTTACTCCAAGAGCATATGGCGAATGCTCGAAGTTGCTTGATTAGGACAGGGTCCTATAGTGGTCGAAATTCCTAGCTGCTGTTTTTGGTTTATTTTCAAGGTTATATTTTCAACTGTTTTTGGTTTAACTCGTGATTCGTGAACAAGGTTATATTTTCAAATTTTAAATTGGTGATTGTTTCTTTGTTTCTTTTGGTTTTTAGTTTGGATATTAAAAGTTTTGTACCGTTTTAATATATGACGTGGATTGTCTGCCCTTCCACTCTCGTGCCTTCCTGTGCCTTCTTGTTTGTGTGATCACGGTAGTTAAACCACGTTAACATTTTATATTACTATTTATTTTTGTCTTATTATTTCTATAAAAAAAATATAAAATGTTGACGTGTATGCGCATACACGTAGACATTAGACATGTGTCCAAGTCATCTTGCAATTACTTTATAGGTACAGCGAAATGATGATCGAACCCTAAATTCTAAACCCTAAATCCTAGGGAAAAGTAATTGATGACAAAAATACTGAGAAATAAAATTGGACTTCCTTCAACTTTCAACCTTCCCTAAGTAGATATTGATAAAGCAGCTTTTTCAACCTTGTATCGGTCGTATTCTTGAATTTGGAAGGAAAAGAGGAGTAATGCTTCCTAGCATGGGACATAGAATAAGACCTAGAATAAAACCACTTAGATTAGAATAGCATTCACATAAATGTTCTAAAATAGAGTTAAATCGAACATTGAAGAGATTAGTTGGTCGTTATTGGGATGGGTTCAAACAGGATTGCAATAAATAATAAAAAATAAAAAATAATGAAGGAGCGGAACCTTCATTTGACTCAAGCCAACCCCAGGTCGGGACGAGACTTTCTTTGTGCTACAAATTAGTGAAATTCTATCTCTTTCGTTACACAACTAAAAAATGGGCAACAACTCTTGAGTCAAAAGCCTTCTAAGTTATGCTGATGATGATTATTTAAACCGTACAAAGCGCGTTTCTAGAACTGTTTATGTCTTTATCATTAGAGATATTGCAATATTGTGCATATCAACCAAACAGGACTTAGTTGCTACGTCTTTCAATCACACTGAGATTTTAGCCTGTGCAAAGTATCGCATGAATGATTTTGGCTAAGGCGCGTGATTGATCACATTAAAACTTTATGTGATTTTTCTTACATCGTTGATGTTCCAACAACGATTTATGAAGACAATGATGCGTGTATCGACTGGTCATACGCTTGTGTGTTTTAATAACCACTCTGAATATGTGAAATATCGATATCTTGTATTAACTCAATTTTTCTCTGTAAGTCTACTAGTTATCCCATAGCAAGGTTTTTAACCGATAGCTGACAACAACAACCACATCACCTAATCACGAAGAAATGATGCAGCTACTTCTTAAGTTGTACACACTTAAGTAGGAGTGTTGTGAATAGAATCATTAATTAGAAATGTGATTGTGTAAACTTAAAGTAGAATTCCACAAGGATTTGGAGATCAAATAATTATAGGCTTTGTATTACTTATAAGGCAAGAAAACTCATCATAATTAGTGAAGAAAACCCATCATAATTAGTATTAAAAAGTCACGTGCTAAGGGTGAATACGCCATTCTTATACACATGAGCCCTTCTTTCATGTCGTCTCATTCCTCTCTCACGGTCGCAGGTCTGTTGTCCCTAATTATGGTGTCTCCTCTCTAATTTCTCAACACGTGTACCACCCATTTCGCCTAATCTTCACCCCATTAAATTTTTAATAAAACTAAAACCCAAAAACAAAGAAACTAGCAGTGACTATGTCCTCATCCACCCCAATCCATGCAGTCCCGTGCGCCAGCAACCTAAGCATTCACCCATGCTAGCCTCCCCATGCGCCAGCGGCTACCCTTACTTGTACTTGCCATCACCAAAATCCTCTTCCATCCAAAGGCGGATTTATTAAGGGACCTAGGTGGTTTCAGGACCACCCGAATACTCGGATAATTGAAAACTTCCGAGGACCACCCAAGTTTGGGCAGTGAAGGGAAAGAGCAACGAACTGCATAATGTTCTAGCTTTTTGCAAACTAGATGGAAAGAAGAAGAACAAGAAGAAGACCAATTCTTTTTTAAACGGTATCCTAGGTCACGTGCTACAAAGTCACATTAATCATTCAAGTAAAGAGTAATGCTAGGGGGACTAAATTTGTAAAAAATATTTGCAAACTAAATGATGTGTCACCAATAGGAAATGAGCATGTTTATCAATACTTAAGTAATAATCCAATCATTAACTTTCATGTCATTTAGTTTATAAATTTTGTCTAAAAATTTAGTTTTTCTAGCATTACTCTTAAATAAAACGGTGAGCACTGATGTGGTGTTTGAAAACTCATTCTAGGTCACGTGGGAGGTTGAGAGCCTCACCATTTTTTTAATAAAAAATAATAAAAAGAGTTCGACTTTCAAAGAAAGTCCACCCCAAGCAATATAGTTCCCTAATCCCCGGATTTGGATCCCATCCAAATCTAAATTGTGAGGATTCTAGGGATCCGCACATCTTAGTCATTCATCGTGCATCGTGTAGTAAAAAATCATCTGACTTTTTTTATTTAAAATTAAACACAATTAGTACCTAACGAAAACTGGCCGCACGATGTACGATAAACAACTAGGATGTAGGGATCCCTATGATCCCCACAAAGTGGATCCGGAGATGATCCTTTTCCCTAATCCCCAATTCCTACCCCGCTCAACTAAAGGTCACCATCATCAGCACAGAACCAATCTCTAGTCTTCACACACCAATCGGCACTTCAAGATCAACTTGGTATTTAAATTCATTCTATGCGTTGAAGAAATGACTTTTCTCAATTGTAAGGGATTAGTAATCTTGCTAAAAAATGATGAAAAAAGGGTTACATGAATTGTTGTTTGTACAAAAATTATGAATAAAAAGTCGTAATTTATCGTTTAATGTTTCAATTTTACTTTCATCTAATTTTTTGGAGCTTTTTGTGAAACTTTATAGGCCTAAGCATGATCTATCACCGATATGATCCCAACTTAACCACGTATGGCTTAGTGTTTGGTTTTATCCCAAAATGACTGGTAATATTAAGGGTGAAAACTCTTATATATTAATAGTGTTGCAGTCCTATTAGATTAGGAATTTGATTGTGTAAATCCTAACATATATATGATATTCTTATGTGATTCTACCATATCTCTTAGACTATATATTATCTTTTTAGAGTTGTAATCCTATTGGGGTAAGGAATTTACCTTCACTACTACTATAAATAAAGGCACTATGGGATGATATAACACACACCTTACAATTAGACATCTATCTCTTCTCTCTCTATGTGCCGCACCCCCTCTCTCTCTCTGGCATTCATAATTGTTCAATAAATTATTCCTACAATACATTATTAGCACGCTCTTAACGCTACGCTAAAGAGAGTTTATTCTTCATTCAGGGGAGTATTATGTTTTAATCATTCTTTTTATGATTAATTTATTATTTTATTGAATTGACCTACATGCTATTGATTCAATTTAATTTCTTATTTGTTGAACGTGATACAACACATTGGATATGCAATTCCGGATTTCCGAGAAGCATGTTCTACAAATTTAAAGGCTTTTGTTGTTTTATGCCAATCAGGTATATTTAAAATAAATGAAGATATTTGAAACGACCATGAAGCGTGAAAACATTCCTCATGATACATGAACCACTTAAAATTATATTTACCTTTCGATATATATATACGTTTCATGCATTATGCAATTTTTGTTATTTGAAATTTGTGAGTCAAAAAATTGAAATAAATTAGAAGCAAGGGTTTTTTAAACCCTTCAATGGCGGACGAGGTGGTGTTGTTGGATTTCTGGCCAAGCCCATTTGGGATGAGGCTGAGGATTGCTCTGGCAGAAAAGGGCATCGAGTATGAGTACAAAGATGAGGACTTGTGGAACAAGAGCCCATTGGTGCTGCAGGTGAACCCGATTCACAAGAAGATCCCGGTTCTCATTCACAATGGAAAACCAGCCTATGATTCCCTCATTGCGCTTCAGTACATTGATGAGGTTTGGAATGATAAGCCTCCACTCTTGCCCTTTGACTCTTACCTCACAGCCCAGGCCAGGTTCTGGGCTGACTTTGTCAACAAGAAGGTGATTTTTACTCATTAATTTACTTATTTTTTTGGGTAAAAGACTGTTTACCACCCTCTTATTTCGTGGTTTTCAACATTTAGTACATCAAGTTTTTTTCGTCTCAGAGTAATACCTAAAGTGTAAATTTTGGGACAGTCTCATACATCTGTTAGTCAAACTGTTAGTTCTCCCGTTAAGTGATGACGTGGCGCTCTGATTGGACGCCACGTGTCATTAAAAAAATAAAAAATTTATTTAAATAAAAATAATATTAAATAATATTAAAATAAATATTAAAATATTAAAATAATAATAATAATTTTTTTTTTCTTCTTCTCTTCTTCTTTTTTTTTTTTTTTTTCTTCTTCTTCTTCTCTTCTTCTTCTGGTTCGGTTCTTTTTTTTTTTTTTTTTTTTTTTCATTCTTCCTCCTCCTCCTCCTACTTCTTCCTTCTCCTTCCTCCTCCTTCTTCTTCTCCTTCTTCTTCTTCTTCTGGGTTCGGTTTCTCTCTTTTTTTTTCTCTTTTTTTTCTTCTTCTTCTTCTTCCTCCTCTTTCTCCTTCTTCTTCCTTCTCTTTCCTCCTCCTTCTTCTTCTCCTTCTTCTTCTTCTGGGTTCGGTTTCTCTTCTTTTTTTTTTTTTTTTTTATCCTTCTTCCTCCTCCTTCTTCTTCCTTCTCCTTCCTCCTCATTCTTCTTCTCCTTCTTCTTCCTTCTTCTTCCTCTTCTTTTCTGGGTTCGGTTTTTTTTTTTTTTTTTTTCTGTTTTTTTCCTTCTCCTCCTTCCTTCTTAAGAAGGAAGAAGAAGGAGAAGAAGAATGAGGAGGAAGGAGAAGGAAGAAGAAGAAGGAGGAGGAAGGAGAAGGAAGAAGAAGGAGAAGGAGGAGGAAGAAAAAAAAAAAAAAAAAAAAAAAAAGAGAGAACCGAACCCAGAAGAAGAAGAAGAAGAAAAAAAAAAGAAGAAGAAGAGAAGAAGGAAAAAAAAAATATTTTATTATTTAAATATTTATTTAATATTATTTTTATTTAAATAAATTTTTTATTTTTTTAATGACACGTGGCATCCAATCGGGGCGCCACGTCATCACTTAACGGGAGAACTAACAGTTTGACTAACAGATGTATGAGACTGTCCCAAAATTTACACTTTAGGTATGACTCTGGGACGAAAAAAACTTGATGTACTAAATGTTGAAAACCACGAAACATGAGGGTGGTAAACAGTCTTTTACCCTATTTTTTTTGTTGTTTTTTTTAACAAGTGATATTATCTACACTAAAAAGAAGGGGATAGGTTTAGCCTCACAATGAGTTAGTAATAATTTGGTTCAAATTCGCCCTTTGCAAGAATCGAATCTAAGACTTCTCACTTACAAGTGAATAAGAATATTATTAGACCATAGTACAAAGTGGCAATTTCACAACATAATTAAGTTTAGTATTTTTTTTTCCTTAAATATGCTTTTTTTTATTTTATTTTAAAAAAAATCTATGTTCAATTTAACATGATACTTAATTTTGTAAGTACCAATTTGGAAAAAAAAAATATTAAAAAAAGGGGTTTTTAAGTACCCACTATGTTTTGGCTGAAAAGGAACTAACCCAAAAAAAGCTCCAGATCTGCTGTCTCTTAAAATGTATCTAATATGAGTCTCCTTGTTAATATGTTGACATGTATTCTTTAACTTGACTTAAAACTTAACTTTGTTAATTTTATTTATTTAACATTTAAATTAAAAAAAAACTAAAATAATAAAAAACTGTTGGGTTAACGAGATGAGCAAATCCAAATAGGATTCTTCACCTTCTTTTTTGGTTTGCTGCAACAATCGCAAGGATCAGAAAGAACAAGGCGAGTTTGCTGTGCATTTTTCTCCTTTGAAACAATCGTAGTTCCAAATCTAGCATCCACACCAACAAACTCACTTGCCTCAACTCCATCAATCCAAGTTCGAACTTTTACCAAAACGAAATTGTTCTCGCTCCCAGGCTTCTTCGAAGCAGAATCATCATCATGCACTATATCCCCGGCAGTGATAGAGCTCGGATTACCGACTAGTAGAATAGTCAAAGCTGAAACAAAAACCAACCCACAAAGCCCCTTTCTTTCTCTCTCTTCCTTCCATGGCTACAATCTCTACAAATCTGTGATGCAGAGGAGGAAGAACCAAAAGGGTTGTTCTTTCTGATCCTCGCGATTGTCGCAGCAAACCAAAAAAGAAGGTGAAGAATCCTATTTAGATTTGCTCACCTCGTTAACCCAACATTTTTTCATTATTTTGGATTTTTTTAAATTTAAATGTTAAGTAAATAAAGTTAATAGAATTAAGTTTTAAGTTAAAGAACATACGTCAGCATATTAATAAAGAGATAAATAAGACACATTTTAAATGACAGCAGAACTGGAGCCCCCCAAAAAAGGCACTTTCGAGAAGTTGGTGGAAGCTGATGGAACTCTCTGTTTTTATTGTATTTTTCCCTTCTGGATTGCTGCAGAACTTTCTGTAGTTCTCAGAGAAACCTTCTGTGCCATCCTATATATATACAACTCACTCCCCAACCCTCCTCATCAGATAGAATTATCCAAAGCAATCTAAGCAAAAATCTCTCGCCCAAATCCTACGAATTCACACCCAGCAAAAACCCAACTCAAACCCACCATCTAATGGCTCTCAGTCTCTTTGGCGGACGACGAAGCAACGTCTTCGACCCCTTCTCTCTGGACATCTGGGACCCTTTCGAGGGCTTCGGCGCTCTGGCCAACATCCCCTCATCCGCCCGTGAAACCACCGCCATCGCCAACACGCGCATCGACTGGAAGGAGACCCCGGAGGCCCACATCTTCAAGGCGGATCTCCCGGGGATAAAAAAGGAGGAGGTGAAAGTGGAGGTGGAGGACGGGAGAGTCCTGCAAATCAGCGGCGAGAGGAGCCGGGAGCAGGAGGAGAAGAACGACAAGTGGCACAGGGTGGAGAGGAGCAGCGGCAGGTTTATGAGGAGGTTCAGGCTGCCGGAGAACGCGAAACTTGATCAGGTGAAGGCGGCGATTGAGAATGGGGTGCTGACTGTGACTGTGCCGAAAGAGGAGGAGAAGAAGCCTGAGGTCAAGGCCATTGACATTTCCGGTTAAACTAAATTCGCGTAACCTCGATCGGCTACTTTTGAGCTCTGTTTTGGTGTGGTGTTAAGTTCTGCTTGTGTGTATTTCCGAGTCTCTCTGTATGTGAGATGAGTGATATGGCGTGTCAATTGTCATGTATGGGTTCTTATTCTAAATATTATAATAAATCTTTATAAAAGTTTACATTATATTTCCAAGAAGTGTGTCTGGGAGAAGGTCTATTTAATTTGTTTTCCACGAATATGAAGAAGATGACCGTTCATGGCGCGATTCTCTTGCTCTTAAAGTCTAGAACTTTAACACCTGCGCATGGAATTGACAAAGATTCTTTCGATCTTCACATGTGCTACTGCTATTGGGAACCAGCTGCTGAGCTCGTGCGTCCTACGAAGGTTGCAGAGGTGTATCAGGCAAAGAAGAAAGTTAGAGATACAAATTTTGTATGGGAGAAGTAATGCTCAAGTCGACAGTCCAGCAAAGGCGACATTGAAGACATCTTACTTACTCCAAGAGCATATGGCGAATGCTCGAAGTTGCTTAATTAGGACATGGTTCTACAGTGGTCGAAATTCCTAGCTGCTGTTTTTGGTTTATTTTCAAGGTTATATTTTCAAGAGAACTTTAACGAAAAACTTCCAGTACTGTTTACTTTAACGAAAAATCATATTTTTACACTAAAAAATTAATCATGCTATTATTCATTTTACCTTTTATTTTATCCTTACTGTTAAAACTCAAAATTTTTAAGTCATTTTTATTAGTTTTTCTTATTTTCAACTGTTTTTGGTTTGACTCGTGAACAAGGTTGTGTTTGCAATTTTAAACCGGTGATTGTTTCTTTTGTTTCTTTTGGTTTTTAGTTTGGATATTAAAAGTGTTGTACCGTTTTAATATAAAACAAAGCTTTTGAGTACTTCCATGGTCATCTTAACCCTGGATGCAAAACGAGATTGATTCAATCCTAAACGAGATCAATTATTTAAGTGAAATCAACCGCTGTATTTTACTTGTAGACTAGAGCTGACATATCTTTTGTTGTGAATTTTAGCAAGGTACAACAATGCGCCTACACGTAGACACTAGACATATGTCCAAGTCATCCTGCAATTACTTTATAGGTATAGTGAAATGATGATCAAACCCTAAATTCTAAACCCTAAACCCTAGGGAAAAGTAATTGATGACAAAAATACTGAGAAATAAAATTTGACTTCCTTCAGCTTTCGACCTTCCCTAGGTAGATATCCATATAGTAGCTTTTTCAACTTTGTATCGGTCGTATTCTTGAATTTGGAAGGAAAAGAGGAGTAATGCTTCCTAGCATGGGACATAGAATAAGACCTAGAATAAGGCCACTTAGATTAGAATAGCATTCACAGAAATGTTCTAACATAGAGTTAAATCGAACATTGAAGAGATTAGTTGGTCGTTATTGGGACGGGTTCAAACAGGACTGCAATCAATAATAAAAAAAATAAAAAATAAAAGAATGAAGGAGCGGAACCTTCCTTTGACTCAAGCCAACCCCAGGTCAGGACGAGACTTTCTTTGTGCTACCAATTAGTGAAATTCTATCTCTTTCTTACACAACTAAAAAATGGGCAACAACTCTTGAATCAAAAGCCTTCTAAGTTATGCTGATGATGGTTATTTAAACCGTACAAAGCGCGTTTCTAGAACGATTTATGTCTTTAAATTCATTCTATGCGTTGAAGAAATGACTTTTCTCAATTGTAAGGGATTAGTAATCTTGCTAAAAATGATGAAAAAAGGATTACATGAATTGTTGTTTGTACAAAAATTATTAATAAAAGTTGTAGTTTATCGTTTAATGTTTCAATTTTATTTTCATCTAATTTTTTGGAGCTTTTTGTGAAACTTTATAGGCCTAAGCATGATCTATCACCGATATGATCCCAACTTAACCACGTATGGCTTAGTGTTGGGTTTTATCCCAAAATGACTGGTAATATTAGGGGTGAAAACTCTTATTTATTAATAGTGTTGCAGTCCTATTAGATTAAGAATTTGATTGTGTAAATCCTAACTTATATATGATATCCTTATGTGATTCTACCATATATTTTAGACTATATATTATCCTTTTACAGTTGTAATTCTATTGGGGTAAGGAATTTACCTTCACTACTACTATAAATAAAGGCACTATGGGATGATATAACACACACCTCACAATTACACATCTATCTCTTCTCTCTCTATGTGATGCACCCCCTCTCTCTGGCATTCATAAGTGTTCAGTAAATTATGCCTACAATACATTATCAGCACGCTCTTGATGCTACGCTAAAGAGAGTTTATTCTTCATTCAGTGAAGTATTACGTTTTAATCATTCTTTTTATGATTAATTTATTATTTTATTGAATTGACCTACATGCTATTTGTTGATGCACAAAACCGGAGGGGTCTTGGAACAACGTAAATCTGACCGTGAATCTGCAAGAAATTAAATAACACAAGATGTATCGTGGTTCATCCCAATGTTCGGGCTACGTCCACACTGATATTGTATTTCTCTGTTTGTGAGAGGATTGTGAGGGTGAGAGCCTCTGTAATGTGAGAGTGATGCTTCTCTTTAGGGATCTGAGACCCTTCCGTTTGTGAGGGTGAGGATACCCCTTTTATAGACTAAGAGCTCCTCACTTATTACATATTTCCCCCTTCATTTATTACATAATTACATTTGAGTCCCCCGAGTATTTATACGAGGTCTAAATACGGAGGCCCTAAGTATGGTACAAACAGTAGTCCCCCAAGTCTTCAGTCAAGAGAGTCTTTTGGCTAGAGACTTGAAATTCAGTCCATGTGTAGGCCGAAGTAACTAGATGTCGTCTAGGACTGATACTCGATATGAAGCGGTGCTCAATCTGAAATAATGTTCAACTAGAAGTAGCACATGTTGCAAGGCTGCTCGGTTTGTGGCTTATGTTGCCTTGGTTGGCTCGGCTTGTGGCGTTGAAGGTGAGGGAGTCCCTTTTATAAAATAAGGGCTCGCTCCTCAATACATAAGTGATGGGCTAGAGTTTATGCTCGCGGCGAGACGGTTGCTCAGCTGGCGACGATGCTCTCTAATGATGGTGAGGGAGTCCCTTTTATAGAATAAGGGATCGCTCCTCAATACATAAGTGATGGGCTAGAGTTGATGCTCACGGCGAGACGGTTGCTCAGCTGGCGACGCTGCTCTCTAATGATGGTGAGGGAGTCCCTTTTATAGAATAAGGGATCGATCCTTAATACATAAATGATGGGTTAGGAGTGATGCTCGCGGCGAGGTGGTTGCTCAGCTGGCGGCGATGCTCTCTAATGAAGGTGAGGGAGTCCCTTTTATAAAATAAGGGATCGCTCCTCAGTACATGAATAATGGATGCTTTCTAATGAAAGTGAATGAGTCACTTTTATAGAATAACGACTCGCTCCTCAATACATAAATAATGGGTTAGAGTCCCCCAAGTATTTTTCATGAGGCCCAGTTGAGGCCCAATATATGGTACATAATGTAGTTCCCCAAGTCTTCAGTCAATAGGGTCTGTTGGCTGGAGACTTCAAATTGAATCCATGTATGGGCCGAAGTGGTGGTTGTTCGGAGACGGTATTTGTATATCCTTGTCACACCCCGGACCCGGGGTAGGTGGAAAATTCGATCCCAAGTCTGAAACGCGAACTAAAAACTAAATAAATAAAATAAAACGGAAACGGGTTGGAAAATAAAATTCTTCTTATTTAAAATAACTCAATAATTCTTTACAAGGCTAAATAAATAAATACAAATTCTAGCCTCACATCTATCTCGTTTCATCCCGTCTACCATTTTGACAGTTTAGTTAGTAAACCTGCATAACAATAGAGGGGTGAGCTTCAACAGCTCAGTAGGAACATAACCTTACCACAGTAAAATTGACAATACTAAATTACGTGTTATAAAATCATGTAATCAAGTACCAAATCATTCTCGATAACAATGCATGAATGCAATGCAAAACTCTTCATCTTTGCCCGTTAATTCATATAATAAAACACGCGGACCTGCACGTCCCATACCGTGCATTTTACCTCTGCAGTGGTGGTTCGAATGTTTTAATATACAAATTAACCCCATGTAACTCAATCATCCCAATTTCCCAAACTCTTCGTCGCCAGTCCCGAATTACCCTTAAAGAATTTATGCATTGTGGGCTCGCCTGAGACCTGGTACCTGCTAAGAGTTTGGCTCAACTACACAAAAGATATTTCCAACTACCCTCATTTCCAGAATTCCTTCCTCAACACCAAACTTCCAACTATTCTCACACATAAGTGATGCACAAATAATCTCATTTCATCATTCACATGTACCAGAACATATTCTCAGCGAATATAACTTCACCAATAATTTCGTATCCAATAACGAGTAAACACACAAGAGCAGTATTTGTCCAATTAGTAAACCATATCACATTAATCAACCAACAAGATCGATAATAATATAATGTTTCACGAAATTTAATAAAGCCAATCTCCGTAAAGGTCTGCCGTATTTCCCTTACCTAGAGTCCAAAGCAAGCAAACAATGTCCCTTACCAACACCTCGATTAAACACAACCATCGTGGTAACTGGAGTCCCTGATCCAACAAATAAACTATATCACTGTATAATCCCTATATCTAACACCCAATATAAACTCCTTTATTTTAGAATTCCAATATTAGGCTTAACATCACCTTATCTTAGTTGGACCCTTAAAACATTTTTCTTTCTTATTTGGGTCCTAAAAAATTTCTCAATTATATACATGCTACCAAGAAGCATTTGCCCACAAAACAATTCTAAAATCACAGTTTTGTCCCAAGCCTTCGGGTAATAACAAAACTACCCTTAACTTTCAGAGAACTGTAAAATGGCCCCAAATCTGAACTTCTATTTCAGTTTGGTCCCTGTAGGGTGAATAGTGATATTCATGGCTATTTTCCAGATTGGTTCCTCTTGTCTTTCAATCCAAAACATGTCTAAACCCATTTATCATGATCTCTAAGTACCAAATCACCATTCAAGTTCACCAAGTTCCCTTAATTTCGTAACAGCCACAAAATATCAAGGTTTAAAAACCATGAAATAATTCTAGGGTTTGCAGCAGCTAGCCCATAAAGAATATAACCTCAATTCGTTCAGTTATGCTTCCAATAAGCTTAATCCACCAT